ATCCTGCCTGGGTTTACTGCTTATTACTTGCTAGCTTGCCCTTTAGACACATAATTTAACACATGGAACTCAACGTTACTCTTTGGGTGGCTCGTAAAAGCCAAGCAGAACATTACATAGGGAGCCATGCTGTCCTGGCACTCCTTTCTGCACAGAAAATGTCTAAACAATGTAAAAATACTTCTTTAGCGTAGAGGAATAGGTGGATCTCCAGTTCTCCACGCATATGTAAGACTGAGTTTCCATGCAATCTTGATGGCTTCCATCTTGGAGTGTCTAACTTGAAATGCATGAAAGAAGCATGCCTTCTAGAGGTTTCAAATGCAGTTTCAAATTTAGTCCTCAGAAAGCTACATTTTCCTACAAAATAGAGTTTATCCCCTCCCCTGAAAGCACAAGTGCCATGTTTATCCTCAGCATCTCTGTCTCACATACTTCTGGACCTGAAATAATCCTAGTTGCCATAATTTAATTAAACTATCAGTTTGAAATGTCTGAGTGTTGTATTGAGACTGGGTGGAAAATATGAGCACAGACAATTGTGCTAGCTAGGAATAGCTAGACAGCTTGCAGTGTAAGACAAGAAAGGCTGATGTTAGCTGCAATCCAAGCTGACAAATCCTGAGGCTATGGGATTAGGCTGGTCCTGTTGAGGACTGCTGAAGAACTGACACTGTAAATGTTTATTTTAAAATAGGCATCCAAGAATGTGTTTCAGATAATTTTTTACTCCTTATTGCGGTTGTGCGTATTTCCTTAATATGCACTATTGTTATTAGCCCAGCCAGTGCTTGACACTGCTTGAACAAAGGTATTTGTAAGAGGAAGAGTGCAAGAGCTGGACTTACTGTTGGCAATATCTAGACCATGGAGATACTCAGAGACTAACCACAGTTAAGAAGGCTTTGTCCCCTTTTCTTTATATTCAGATGGCTCTTTTCTTTACTGACATTATGTTCATTTCACTCAAACTGAAGTTCTATTCTGTGAGAAAGAGGAGAGCTGTAATGGAGCATCGTGGCAGTTACAAAACACTCTCCATTTCTGAAAAAACTACCATGTTTATCAATCCACTGTATCCTGTGTGGAGGGCTACACTTTGTGGTTTTCTCTGAGCTTTCTACTGTGCTTTAGCAGCAGAGAAATCTGTGACAGGGCTATAGTGATAGCTTTCTGCTCCATCCTCCTACCAAGGAGGTTTCCCCATCCCTACTGAGTGGTTTCCCCATCCTCAGCCCCTCCTGGCAACTCCTGCCCAGGTAGGTGGATGACACATCAGATCTGATATTTGGAGGGGCACAGCTGAAGGTGGGGAGAAAGCAGCACCACTGTGTTTGCTTATCCTTTATCAGCATACTTTGAATAAAAGACCATAATGCTTGTTGATTTTATTGACATGAACTAAAAAGAGCCTCTGACAACAGATTAGAAAGTCATGGCAGCTAATTAGCAGAAAACCATTAAAAAGCATATTATCTTAAAGGTAGCAAAGTGTGAAAACTCTTTGTGTTTTTAAGGCTGATTAGTTGTGTGATGTCCATTCTAAGGCAAGATCATAAAGCAGGGTTGCTTAATGCAATCATTAGGAAGTAAAAATCTTGATTTTCCAGCTATTCTGAAGATATTATTTTTAGGGTGTGTGTTCCTGTTAAATGCATCTGTGTTGCTTCTAAACCAAAAGGATATGAAAGGAAACAAATGTGAGACTTGTTTCACATCAACAGCTTGGCTGATAGGGCTTTCACAGTGGGAGCCTGCTCTCTGGGCTTTCTCAAAAATGGAAAGCAAAACTCAGTTCAGCCTAAACACAACCAAGATTATTAAGACTGACTTTGGACCAGGTCCAGACTAAAACAGACCATGGCTCTCATTATCCAAATAAAACCTCTGCCTTTCCTGCAACTTGCTCACCAGCCCCTGGGACAGTCACAAGGACTGCCACGGGTTTATAAACTCTCCTGTTGAGTTTATAGGCTCAGGGGTCACCCTGTTACCTCGTGCTGCTGCATCAGCTGCCAGTCACCTTCTGCCCCTCATAGCAGCGTCTGCCCAGCCTGGCTCTGGGGAGGGGACATCTGAGCATGGCTCTGCAACGTCATCTTGCCCCAGTGACTCCCACTTTCCCTGGCCCTTCAGGAGTCCTGGCTGCCAGCTGGGTCATGGACTGCGTTTCTCTGTAGCAGCACCTGCTGCTCCTTTTCAACCACCTGACAGGCCCTGCAGCCAAGGGGCCTATGGGCTGTCCTCCTTAGAAATCAAAACAAGAAGAAAAATGTCACATTAAAAACAATCTAGGCATTAGATTATGAGCTGCTATGTGGAAGTAAAACCCAACCAAACATCAACAATAAAAAAAAACCTTTAAAACCCCCCAAATGCCACAATATCCTAATTATCTCTTCCTGAACTCTTTTCCTGGATCTTTCCAGGTGAAACAGCCAGTTTATCTTTTTCCCCTTCCAGGATGTTGGGTAACTTTTGGACATGTTCCAAACTCCCCTGAAGTCAGTGAAAAGTTTCCAAGGTCTCTGAATCAAGCCCTGAATGCAGGAGGGTAAAAAGTGTGAGTATCCTACCTTGCATTCTAGGTGAAAACACACACATCCTGCAAGTGCCACACATTAGCACTCAGTAAGTAGTCCTTTCCTTTTCTCTGTTTCTCCAGAGTGTGAAAAGGTCTCTCTGATGATACAGCAGACAAACCCCTTTCTCAGAAAGGACTTCTTTCTAGCAGTGAAGTCGCCATTAGCGATGGAGTTGCACATCATGGGAGTGGTCCTTCTCCTGGTCCTTGACTGTATAATTTCCCAGACCCTACTTTGAAAATATCTGAGGTGAAGGCTGAAGACTAACCAGTGACTTTATAAGCTCTGGTACAGTTTGTGCCGGGCCCAGCTCAGGACAAGGTTTGCCAAAGCCTCTCACCAGGCTCTGTCATAAGGGCATTGAATGTTGTAGCAAGAAGCACACACTCCTCACTTTCACTTCCTCTTCTAGTGAAAACGAACATCACATAGATGTAACAATAACCCCGCATCAAGTCACCACTTTTTATAGAAGCTTGATTATTCTAGAAGTGATGCCTCAGGCAAGTTTCAAAATTTGAATTTCTGATACTCTTCACATTTTCCCAAAGCTGTTTTTTCATTATGTATTTTTAATAAACTGTTATAATGTCCTGAGAAATTCAGGCTCTCTGTAGCTTCCTCTAGCTTTCCTCCTCCTGACCATGGGGCTCACTGAGCACCACAGAGTCACAGAAAAGCAGAAGCCTCCCCTCCTGGGCAAGATCAGCTACAGGCATACAATTTCTGACAGATGTCCTGACAAAATGTTATCTTGTTCTTATTCAACAGCCTTCCTGAAGTATATCAGCCTGGTTTGTTCATGTCTGACTTAAGCCTTTAACTCAATCCTTTAATAAAAACTCATGAATCCTGCTGTGGTCAGTGGAGGCCCTGGAAGGTGGGTCAGAAGTGGCTCAGGAAGGTGGGCCAGGAAGGGGCACACGTGTCCTGGGCAGGCTAGGTTAAAAAATATGAACACCCTGCTATCTGCATTTCTGTAGTGCACCAGCCTAATTTGGAATAAAAGTCTTCTAAGGTTCTACTCTCAAACCATGGTGTGGTAAATGTCAAAGGGGTGAAGCACATCTGGCCAGATGTGTTGTAGGTGCTCAGAGAGACTGAAGAGTGGTGGTACCATAGTGGGGACATGCAAAGATAAGCAAGAAGAGTTTGTTTTTTTTTTCCAAGAAAGCAGTTTGTCAAAATTCCTCTTCTTGGTACCAGTTATTATGAAAGCTGCCCAAACATGCATCCACAAGACAATAAAAGTCTGATCTAGGGCTCGTCTTCAGTCACCTTGTATCTTCACTTCCCTGCTATCAGAATCTGTTGTGATCTCTGGATCATATGGCAGAAGAATTATAGTCCCTTCTTGCTGCGTTATTAATGCTGGTCATTTCAGACAAACTAATAGTGATTTCTTTGTGGACAAGTTAACTACATCTGCATCGCTGTGGCAGAGGCAAAAACAGATTTAACTTCCTGAGCAAAGATTTTGCAACCTACTCGCTGAGGCTCTATGATTTCCCACCAAGCTGGCAGCATCGTGTAGGACCACACCAAGCTAAACATTTAACAATGTCGAATAATTTGGGATGCCTAAACAATCTTCCAAATAAAAACATTTTGTCAGCCTGTAGGTGTATCCAGACAAGAGAGATATTTCTGGAACTGGTGCAGATACTTTGGGAAATGGTGTGTTTCTCCATAGTACCATGTCACAAAAAGCCTCCACTCCAAGCAGTGTCCTTGGCTTTGTTTAGGATCACTGCTATGAATTCAAAGAAAGGCTCTTGGTTAGGATTATCTGAGAGGGGTTATTTTTTTCAATTATTATTTCATTACTTAGACTGTACATGCTTTCATAGCCCACACAGGCTTTGAAGTGGATTGTAAAAATATGCAAAGATGTTTTTATTTTCTTTAATATGCAGACATTTTCTGAGGTCCCACAAGGTACAGAACGGTAAACAAGCAGTTAAGACTGTAGGGCAGTGAGCCTGCTGCAGGCAGCCCATCCCACATCAATTAATTATTGTTGTTATTATTATTGCTATGGTTATTGCTGTTATTATCAAAACTGCTAACAATGTTAATAAATAAACTGGTTTAGGTTAGCTTCTATCAGCACCTCCCTTCTAAGTGAAGGAAGGTCTTTGCTGAAACTACTTCCTGCTGCAAATGATTATTCTGAACCACTTCTTCCATCATGCTCACAACAGACACTTTCCAGATACTTTAACTCACTAGACACTCCTTGGAAATGTCAGATGTGTCTTTTGTGAAGAGCTCCTGTTTTTAACAATATAATAGTATTTCAAGCAAATACTTAGTGAATTTTGCCAGTGGGTCCTAGCATCTTTGGAAGAAAAGGAGAGTTATGAGCAGTGCTGGTGGGTGGAAGAGGGGATATCAATCATGTAAAAAACATACCTTGTGGTTTTAGAGACGCATGAATTATAATCACTGAAGGCAGTAAGGTTCATTCCAGTCACTGTGACAAAGACAAAAGGTGAACATTTGTCTTACTAATCATTTACAGGAACCTGGTGTTCAACTGTGCAATGCTGCCATGGGTAGAAAAATATGTTTCAGAAAAGTACTGTAACATTAGCTGTCCCCCAAAACATCCACTCAATCAGTTTTGCATAGATGAATGCTGACATGACAGAAGAATTATTTGTTGTACATTTGCGAGTAGAGCGCAGGGCACTTCGGAGTGACTCCCTGTGCTCCCCAGGTAAGTCATGTTATACCTCAGAGCCTCCATGGAACAGGGACATGTATAGCTGTCCAAAAAGAGTGCCTCAGCCATCCTGCTCCACCAAGGGCAAAAATCCAGATGGGTGCAAGTCCTTATCCTCCTGCCCTTCCTTTCGGCCTTTCTCCCCTCCCTCTCTCTTCACTCCAGATTACAGTCTTTTCAGTCTTAATATGTCACCTGCCAGGCATCTTTTATCTTACTATTATCAGATGGCTTAGACAAATATTTCCTTGTCCTGGTCTTGGCTGCTCATTCTTACTCACAAACTACCTTTACTGCTAGACTGAAATAAAGCGGTTTTTTAAAAAAAATTTGTCTGGTTTTTGGTTTTGTTTTTTCTTTCATCCAGATTGGTTGCTAGGTGTGACATGACAGTAGCAGCAGAGACATGGGAACAGGAAGAGAGGATCCCTGGAATACATCCCTGGAAGTGTTCAAGGCCAGGTTGGATGGGGCTTTGAGCAACCTGGTCTAGTGGAAGGTGTCCCTGCCTGTGGTAGGGGAGCTGGAACTAGATGATGTTCAAGGTCCCTTCCAAACCAAACCATTCTGTGATTCTATGACCTTAAGAGGGGTCCCAGGCTGCGTTGTGGAAAGCATTGCACTGGTCAGCAATGGGATGACAGGAGCTTTTTGCCCACCCCCCTCTGCTAAGTGAAACAGAGGGAGCCTCTGGTTTCAGCTTGAGGGTATTCCTGAAGTGTCAGACTCCCAAGTGGATTTTTCAGCACAAGTTTGGTTATGCAATGCAGCCTTTTTTTCCCCTGGGATGTAAAGTCAGATGTATATATATGCAGAAGGGAAGGTACCATCTGAGGGCATGCAGATGTTACAGCTTAAATATTTGCGTCGAAGTGAGTCTCCTCAGGCACCATGTACAGTCTATGGAGCCCTAATACCATTCAGCTTATCTGAAAGTATGAGGACATTCTCACTTTTTTAAACATCCTCACTATTTTAGACAGTGAGCACTGCTCAAACAAAACAAGACAAAACCCTCCAGATACCAGCTATAAACACTACCTCAGAAAAAAAGAGTTGCTCCAAGTCAACTACCAGTGGGAAATCAATCCTGGTAGTGTTCTGAGTTAGCAGAGATTGTCTTCAGAGCTGGATTCAGAGAGGGAAAGGACAAGAGAGCCCACCTATTATCCACAGATACCTTTTACAGTTTTCCCCTTTTGCCACTCAGCGCTTTTCACCCAGCTGCAGCAGCACAGCACCAAAGAAACTATGACACTGACTCTTAAAATTAAGCTAATCAATGCACATGATGGGCTGAGCTGACACAGGTTTGTGGCAGAAGATTTTAAAGCAGAGCTGCTTAAAATCTGCTGGTGGATGGCAGGTTATTCGCATGTCAGAAAACACTCCCGATGGAAACAAGCACGCATAAACACCTACCCTTTACAAGCCTGCTTTCATGCTTAAAGAAATCTGATGCTCAGCCATGTGGAGAAATCATTTCTTTCCTTTCCATAACAGAAAGTTCACTGCAATGGAAAGCAGCTCTTACAGCTGAGTGTTCATACTGGAATTATTAAGTATTTTTTAATAGCTTGCAAAATGATGCATTCACTTTATCTATTATCATGTAAATACTTTCTACTAAATACACTAAACCATCTTTTGCAACATTAGTTTGGATTAGACACATACTATTAAAATTACTCTTAATGAAAATATTTAGATCTGAAAGGGGATTTAAATATTATTTTCTATCACTTTAGTTCCTTTGTATAAAGGAGAATGAAGTCCTTTATGTTTAAATGGTTTAAAGCATTCAGCTTAAACTGCGTTACCCGAGAACTTTTGTGTCGCCATTAATAGCCCACTCTTAATTGGAAGTAGAGAAGAAAAATAATAATCAAAACCTGAATTTCCAAGCATTTTTGAATTTAAACCTATCTCACTTATATTAAAAGATGTGATTTTTATTCTAAGTTAACAGACTCTTGAAATAAGACACTAAAAGCAGAAGTTATAAAGCATACAGTTTACCTGAGTTGTCTTGAGGAGTCCTTCTATATCACACACTTGCCTGGACTCAGCATTTAAAACTGAGTTAATTGGGATTTAACAGGAAAACACTGCCACAAGCTTAACAGACTGGCAGCCACGGCTCTTTGCAAGGATGCCCTCCTTCTGCATCCTCATCACTGCTGTCCCTAAGGACAGTGGTGGCCTCTTTCCCCACATAAGGCTCACCCAGCACTCCCAGCCAAGCGGGTGGGAGGAAAAGTCTTCTCTTTGCAGGATAAGGGACTCACTATATTCTTAGCATGGATTGTGCCCATCCCACTGCTCCTCTGGGATCAGCTCCCAACCTTGGTTTTTGAACCCATGACTCCACAGTCCCAGGAAGAGTCCTAAACCTGTGCTCAGAGCTGAGAACTGTACATGCTCATGGCACATTTCAGCCAGGATGGACATTTGCCCACATGTAAATCTTTTCCTGACTCAGGAGTCTTAAGCATGTGCTAAGAATTTAGGAATCGATTCCAGGGAAATCAGGTTCATAATTTGGAAGCCATTTCCCAGCACAACTCAGACATTTGCTGTCCTTGAGCTATCAACACAGCCTGAGGACTCTGAGGTAAAAGTTTAGGGCAGTGTGAAAGATGCAACTGGGGGGAAGCACTAAGATGTTCATGCTTGGCCACAGCTCTTTTCCTTTCAGAGCAGAGGGATGTTGCTCTCTGCAGCAAAGTTATGCTCCCAGCCAGAGCTCTTCAGCCCAGCTCCCCCTCACCCGTGGGCATGCATTATGGTTCAAGGTGATTTAACAACCTTCAGGCCTTGCTGGGGGTTTTAACCTTTTACTGGGGAATCTTGGCATCCTTCACTACATTGTATTTTGAAAGAAATTAAACCACTTCTACCTATATACTTTGATGATTTTAAAATGTGTTTTTAGGTTATCTGAATGGTTAGTTAATACTGTACAAGACTTCACATCCTGGGAAAAAAAGTCTGCATTTTTCACTAGCCATTAGCCCGGCAACAACTAGGCTCCCCAGAGCTGTGAGACCATTTTATAAGCACACATCAAGGTGACAAGTCTGGCTCTTACAGTAGGAACTGCCTGTGTCCCTCTCCTCTGTAACCCCATTAAGGGTTCCCTGCATGTCAGCAGGGAACAAGTGTTATGGCTGGGGCCATCCCTGCCAGGTCTGGGTGAAGTGGCTCGAATGCTCACATGGATGATCATACTGTCCAGTCTGCTAGAAACCAGAGAGAGAAGAAGAAGCAGGATTTTCATCCACACACAAAAAGGATGATGTTTTCCACTTGGTAGTTTGCTAGAGAAACACGGGTAACATAGGTTGGCTTGCGGGATTTCAGCTGTGAGGTAACTCACATTTGGAGATTTATGCAGTCTCTCTATTTCAGCTCTCTGTATTTTATTTTTGCTTTTTAATTACTTTCACAGAAGGTCATTGAGAATACTGGAGTATTGGATCTGGTTTTAAATTGTTTCAGATCCTTTTCATCTGGAGACATGCTGTCTTATCTGTTGCTCCAAAACAGCGATCCAAAATAACCTCCGAATCCACTGCTCAGGGTCTGTCTTGCAATTCTTGGTCTACTTATTTGTGGTGCACTGTACAGCTCTGCTCCTGCCTGCAAAGACCCCTCATTTCCCAAGGCTTCAGATGGGCTGTTAGGGTCCGCTAGTCTCTGTCCTCACAAATCTCTCTCCTCTACAACAGCTAACCCTCTGTTTGCAGTTCTCCCCTCCTTGAGAAGCTCATTTTTGTTTTACCACGTTAGGTCTTCTATTAAGGAGTGGCACAAGAGAGCAGAAAACCTAATCTATGTGATTTGAGAGCAAGTTACTATGGCCACAAATGTGATGGGGAAGTGTCTATTTCAGAAATAGGAGTGAAGCATGTCTAGCAACCTATAAATAAACAACTTTGGGGCCCAGGCTGTCAGACACGTGTCACAGAAGTGCCTGTTACAGCTCTTCAGCACTTTAAAACTGAAGTCATAGCTCCAGGCACATGATGGAGAACAAGAGTGTGAGAAGACCAGAGATATATAGCAGGTCACATACAGCCTTTGTAATTTATGATAGAGCAACTTTACCCCCACAGACGAATGAAAGAGGATGCAGAAGGCTACCTACACCCCTGGTCTAACCTGTCAGTCTACATCTGTCTTGTTTTGGGCCAACAGATACTGCCTCTTACCTTAGGTAGGTAAGATTTACCTAGTCTACCTACAGTAAGGGACCCCTGGTGGCCTAGTGGTTAGCATGCGGCACTCTCACCGCTGTGACCCAGGTTCGATTCCCCGGTCCCCCGGGCAGATGGAGCTCGCCAGTCCTGTGAGGCCATCCATCTATGAGAAGGTCACTCTAAACAAACCTACGTCCTGAGGACCTCACTGCCAAGTCCAAGCTTGCTTGGCCCCGGCAGATGAACCTTAGGATTAAAGGGTGGGCTCAGTTCAGCGCAGGCTGTGTCTCACCTAAAAAATCCATTACGCAGGCTGGAAAGGTAAAAAGACCTTTCCCAAATCTTCGTTCGCGAAGACTGGCCATTATTACCTACAGTAATCTGTCATACTTTCTAGCTGAGTCAGTTGCCCTGTCTTTTGCACCCAGAATACAGCCTTGAGCACTCCCAGTGACAACATGCATGAGGAATCAATCACTTTCCTCAACTATCAGATAAAGAAAAAGGGACAGGTTAAGTTGTCACTAAGAAAATGCAGTGAAGGTGTGATTGTGATTGTGTCACCTGTCAGCTCAGTCTCACACAGAGATAACAGTGTAGGTACAAGGTAGCCTGAAGGTTAGAGGGACTGTCAATGTTGATTTCTCCAGGGGTGTGCTCTAGGTGAAGCTGTACTCTATATCACAGTCTCCCCTGCCAATGTGTACAAAGATGTCTGGATTAAGCAAGCACAGGTGTGCTTGCACAGGCTCATATAAGTGTCACACCTTCCTTTTGCATGAAGACATACTACTAGGGCTTGCTGCCTCAAAGGCTTGTATATCTTATTTATGCAAGTCTAGATGGAATCATAGATCACAGAATTATCAAGGTTGGAAGAGATCTCCAAAATCATCTACTTCAACCACCAACCCAGCATCACTGTAATCACCCCTAAACCATATTCCCAAGTGTCACACCTCCTATTTGGTGTATCTGGATTTCAAGAAAAGGAAAGCTTTGAGGAAGTTTTCCTGAAGTAATTAATTTGCCCTTTTTCAGTCTCCTAAAGATATTCTTCTGCTCCCTCACACATTCATTTTCCTTCTCAAAGCAGCGTTCATAGGTGACAAATCTAGCTATCTTTACAATGTGGTGTGTGTTTCCTTGGATAATTCACCCCATGGCTATGCCACTGTCAGCAAAATCCACTCCATGTCTCCTCCTGCCCAAGCCCCCTCTGCTACCACAACACAGAGCACAGCTGACTCAATTGAGCTGATACTGAGACAATTGAGACTACTGAGACAACTTAGCCACCTAGAAATACTCCTAAAAGATAATAATATAACCCAACCTGTTCCCCTGCTTTGTTCTCCACAAGAAAATTTAGCAGCACAAGTAAAGTGGTAACGTGGCATTGAAAAGTACTGATGAAGGTGGGAAGGTTGGCAAAGGAGTCACCAGAGAAATAAAATCTGTAGTATTGTAGAAAGCAGCCTGCACCATGGGAAGTTGCCATGGTCAGAAGGTTTCAGGCTAAGTCTCTGCGTTTGCAAACACCTACTCTCAAGAGATTAGAATTAAAAATGGTACAGCATGTTAACAGAGGTGAGCAGAGAGCATGATGCATATCTGTGGGTTTTTCTCCAAGAAGGAATTTCTTGTCTAGAGTATGTCTAACACCGCACAGAGCCCATGAATCACAACGTAGCATTATCTAGTGTGGGAAGGTGGACAAATGACTAAAATAAACAAGAGAGCTCAACAGAATCGTCCTGCTATATTTGGGGTGTAACGTGGTCCTTATTTCACTTTTTCCTCTTGACAAGAGAGTACGCAATCTGCCTGAGAGACTCAAGTAACAAGAAGAGTTCAGTCTCACAACTAAGGGGAACAAAATATCGTGACTAGTCTGTGGATGGAGAGCAGTACTATTTTGAGCACAGTTTGGGAGAGTGCTTGTTCAGTTAACAGATAAGTCAGCAAGTGGATGAGTTTTCAGATGAAGCTCTGATTTGTTTCCTCAGAAGAGAGTCAGGGAGTGTATATGGAAGGAGGAACAAACACCCCAGAAAAGAATACAGGAATTTTTCCTCTTTCCCTCATTATTTTAACTGAAGAACATAGCATGAGACATTTTTTAAAAAATGCAAACCACAGGGTTACTAAAGAGGGATGGTTATCCTCTACTCAAAACGTGGAGCAGGCTGGCATTGAAATGTGTGGTGAGATTTTGGTCACTCCTTTTTGTTTTGTTTTGCAAAGCAACCAGCACAGTTGAACCATTGACCTGCCCAGCTCTTCAGTGCTGAAGTAAGTAAAAGTATTTGTTTGAAAATAAATGAGGTTATTGCTTTAAAGGGGATTCCAGGTAGCATAGGTTATTTTAGCATAGTCTCATGTACTGTGGAAAAGCTCCTGAAATAAAATTTTTATGCTGAAAAATAATTATGAAATCTATTAATGAACGTGAATTATCACTTAAAAATTTTCATGTTAACCAGGTAAAGAATTCTAATACTCCTTATTTACACCTTCAACATCTCATGCTTTCATACATCAGCAAATGTAAAGGGCTGTCATTAGAGAGCGAAATGGCTTTGTGCCATTCAGGCCTTCTGGCACAGTGGATTGCTATTCCTTTTCATGTCCTGACAAGTTCAATCTAGGGAAGTGTACCACTTCCAGAGTATTCTTCTTGCCATCATAGTCTCAGCCGGCTATTTCTGATTCTTGTAGTCGAGTCCTTTGAAGTCCCCCAAAGGGTCAAAAAGTCAAGACCTTTGGTTGCTAAACATGAAAAAAAGGTGAATCTCAAAGTGCTTTCAATCCCAAGCCAAAGAGCAGGAGAATAAAGTGGTCCCTTTTCATTGCATTCATCCTGGAGACAGGCTCTGCCATGCAGGGGACTTTGGCCCCTGAAATGCCTTCCTGATTACTGCTGCTGAGCTCAGGGCTGCTCCTGCAGAGCCAAACTTTGCCATCTCTCCCCAGGAGCTGAGTTTCTGAGAACATTGCTGCCTAACAGCCCCTGTTCAGAGATGATGAACTGCTGTTGACAGTCCTCTTCAAGTGAGCCAAACAAAGCAGGAGGAGCTGTGTGAGGCTTTAACATAGATTAAGATACATGGTGGTTATCCACCACCATGTGTCAATCATTAGCTATTAATTAGGCTAAGTAAAAGATAAACATTGGCTTTAAGAACCATTTCCAGACTTTGAGGGTTTGCCCTTACTGTATATCCATACCCCAGCATCTGCTGAAAACAAGTTAAGTAGCTCTTAAATTCTTTGGCTATATGTGTCACACAGTATTTGCTTTTAATTTTAGAGAATGTGGTCTTGCTTTTGGCATGGCTGAAAGTTTATGTTATGTACAATTTTTAGCAACCTGCCTGCTGTCACTCTACACTGATGATGGCAAGTAAAGCTGTACAGGAGTCTAAAGAGGATTTCCAGGAAAATCCTTGGTAGGATGATACATATTTGAGTTGGTGCTGGCCAATCCTCTTGGCTCTGAAGCCCAGTGCATATTTTGGCTGGCATGGGTCTTCCCCCACAGCTGAATAAGAGTTGTGTTTTTCAGGAGCCAATAGAACATAATGCCATTGCCTTAAACCTGAGTAAAACTGAAAAAGGATGCAGTAAGAAACACCTTTAACTGTGTGTCATCCCAAAGCACATCCTACCAATGCTTCAAAGGAACATTTCATCTGTGCCTTCCTTATTATCTACCCTCATGTCCTTTCCCTACTAATTACCAAATGTTTCTGGAAGACTGAAGAGAAAAATATTAAAGAATAATTTTATTCTTTAGACACTCCACTCTTTTCTATTCTGTTGCAATCCCCATGCCTTATCTAAGCATGTGTAAACAGTCAGTTGTTTAATATATTTAGTCAAAACAATATTTAAGCAAAGAAAATGTTTTTAACATTGAACCTAATGAACATCTTCATTTCCGTTATGATGGCAGAGTTAAGATACCAGATTTTGTAAGATCCTAGGCTTTGAAACATCTGTAACCTGAAGATCCTTGAGTCCTGAGTATTAAACAAGTGGAGATATAGCTTTCCTCACAAAGGGGTTTACCAAAAATGATGTTCAGAGTTTTTTCTCAGACGGTGCATCTCCCCTCAAAGACAATGAGGTCTTTTTTATCTTCATTCACTGTGAAAAAAATTCAAGCTGCAACCTGAAGTAGCATTATATCTTTGTGGATCTCCTGTCTAAGATAAAACAGTGCTTGTTCAATTCTAGCAAAGGCTCAGCAGTAACGACAAACCATTTTGCGATGCAGGTTCTGCATTCAAAGTGAAAGAGTGAACTTTCAGCTTTGGGGGGTTCATCACTACTAAGGTTCACGCATCTTCTCTGCCACTACGTTCATGGTGCCCTGGAATGCAATACAGCTGAAAGGATTTTGAAAATCAGAAGGCTTTGATCTAATGTGTCTGTGCCTGTCTCAGTGTATGGTATCTAAATAACGCTCACCTTCTTAGCTTTGCCTTGACACTCCTCTCTCAAACAATTCCTTTTTAGAGTGTCTCCTTGCTTTGTGCCAGGCACTTTGCCATCCGCCTGAGCAGATGGAAATATGCATGCCTCTAACAAATGTGACCTTGTTAGGCTGCTCGTCCTTCATGTCTGAGCGAGAGAGAGATGTAAAACGTTACACCCACTACCTTTCAGGGGCGAAGAGACTCCAACAGCGCACGTCTGCCATGCTGGGAGGTGTCTCCTGGTAACGTTGCCTTGATATGATCAACATTGCAGCTACTGCTTTTCAGCATCTCAGCGTTGTTATAAAGCATATGCTTGCCTGCACGCCAACACTTGCTCTCTCTTCACCTCCTGGAAAATGCACCTGGGGGCTAAACATGGGGGGCCAGGAAGCAGCCATGGTACAGCAGTAGCTGTCCTTTCGGCAGTTGTTGAAAAGGGAACTTGAGAGAGGAGCACAAAAATAGAAAGGTAATTTGAGAATGGAAAAAGAGGATAAATAGAGGTTTGTAAATAGTTTTGCTCTGTGACTTGGTCTTAAGAGGAAGTTCTAAAAAATGACTGCAACTGCTGCAGTGTAAGTGGGGTTTGTCTCGCTTTACACAAGATACAAGAAAATTGTAAGTCTAAAGCGTGAGAGCATGACCAAAGAAATGGAACACGAATCTCCAGAAAGCAATTCATTCAATCTCTCTTAAGCACTTACTTGTCCTCTGGAGCAGCCTCTTCATTCCTAGGAAAAGAGGTTATATTCTTCTCAGCCCTTCAGAGCTCCAGGCAGTTGTTCACAGAGAGTTCTCTCAAGCTACTGGATATACCCTGGGGTCTCTGAGACACCTGCTTGGGGTAGGAGGGACTACAGGAGGTGACCTGAGCTGTTGTGGCTCCCTGCAGGACCCCAGGGCACCACACAGCACGTGAACCAAAATGTGGGCAGCAGAATGAACTCCCTAACTTGCAGGTCCTTATATCAGGGCTGGTGAATTTCACACAAATAAAATACCCCCAATAATCATACTTAGCCCATTGCCTTAATGAAAATAAAAAGTGCTCCTGTTATAACTCCATGAACTTCAGGCAGACGAGCTCTATCCCCGCTCCTCTACCAAAATGAGCTATAGAATGTGAGGTCCAAGGACTGCGTCCAGAGTGAATCACAGCTGAGGGCAATATTTCAGTGCCTTGTAAGTTCCCTTCTCACATTAAGCATCTTTCTAGTGTAGTAGTCTTGAAAACTGGCAGGGGAATCCAGGAGAAGTGTGACAGAGACGTGAGGCTGGGGAGTGTTGGCAGTGTGCAAGGAAGAATGTTGCAGTCCGAAATTTGAATACCAACGGAAAAGGAACTGCTAGGATTAAACAGGAGACCTTGGGCCAGACAGGCTGGGGAAAAAACCACCATCTAAAAGACCAGACAAGATCCATTGTCCTGATCTCCCCCAGCAGGATGTAGAGAGACTTTGCATGATGCTGTCAGATATCCCATTGGTTTCTCCTTCCCTGTGTAAATCCTTATTTCAGGAAAAACTGACCACCCTTCCGCAGTATAATCTTGCTTACTGAAAGTATCAAATCTTTTTCCCCAAAATGTAAATACTGTATCCGAGAAATGTAAATCCATTTTTAATCCATTCCCCCCCTCCCCCCCTCGTATGTCACCCTTGTTACTGGAAATGCTAATAGATTGTGGAATCCCCTATTTGGCATAACCCTGCCTCCTCATTAGCATGTAAGACTCCGAGACCCTTAAATAGCACTCATGAGTTTAATAAATGATTCCAGTTTTTTGCCTCTATATCTGGGATCATGTTAGCTTTATTGGACCATTACAGAAGAGGGTGCAATTACCTTCAGTTCATCCTAAGCCTTCTCTCCCCTTCTCCACACCTCTGTATCACTTCCAAACCCTCTTCATCTGCTACTGGCATATCTTTCTGAGTTTTGAAACTGTTGCATACAAGGTAAGGAAGAATATGCACTTAGAATATATTAAGATACCACTGGAGATAAATAGGAATTTTTATCTCTGTATTCACGTAAGATGCAGCTGGCACTACAGTAATTTGAAATTAAATAAATCTAGGCTCTTTCAGCACATTTAAGACTGCTGAAGCTTGACAGTTGGCAACAGAATAACTTGACTTTCATCTTTCACCCCTTGCCATTGGTGGCAGGATCCCACTGATGCAGTGGGATAAGGATTGAGCTCCCTTTTCTCCTTTCCAGACTGGGCAATGTGGCTAAATGATAGCAGCTCTTAAGAAGTACTAGCTCACTGAGCAGTTGTTAGCAATAGACAAGCAAGACTTAATAGACAGCCAGCCTAAAAATCAGAAACAAGTTAGTACTTGGGACAACTTAAAAGCAGCTACCAATACCCCATATCTCTCCTTTGTTGGAGGTGGAGAGGTGGTGCCAGTTCTCTCCTTTTAGGGTGTAAGTCTCTGCTGCTGGCAAACTGTTTTCATGTTTGGTAAACCAGCCAACTTGTGACCTATTAGTTACTGACAAATGAAGAGGGTACTCTTCTATCCTTGGTACAATAATCAAAAAATAATAGGCCAGATTATTAAATCTGATCTGGCACTTCTGTGGTGTTCAGAAGTTGAAAATGGGCTGGTAAACCTCCATCTGGAAATGGCCAAAATGCCTCTCTCAGCCAAAAATGCCTCTCTCAGTCACCCAACTCAGAGGGAGAGCAAAAATTAAGAAGAAGGAAGTGAAGATCTGCTCCATGTAAAGGTAAGGTTAACCCAGATCACTGCATCACTGTAAATGAGGTCTCTTAACCCACAGGTACAGACTGTTGAGATAACACAGCTGGCCTTATCCTGGTAGCTCTTATTTTCTGGATCAACCTAGAGCAGGCTGTATGTCAACCAAGTCAATCTGACCACAGCCTTCTGCCAAGTAGCATTTCTTGAGGTAATCCATGGAGGTATAACACTGTGCTGGTAGAAGGGAGAAGAAGAGACATTATCAGCAGCTTCTGAGTTACCATTCAGCAGTGGAAAAGAAAGAGAAAACTGTTTGGAGCTCCTCGACTCTTTTCCCATTGCTCTTGATCCACAAGAAATCTGTAAACTGCCCCTTTTCCTTCCTTCCCACTTGGAAACTCCTCTTCTGAAAGGGGAATGAGGTTTCTGTCTTCCTCCTTAGCTGCTCTCCCTGTAGGTGAGGGAAGAAAGGCAGCCTCAGAGTAGGAGGTGTCTTCAGGCTTCACTGGAGAGAAATAGAAGAAAGAAACATCTTTTCTGGCAAGGAAAATGTTGGCAGTATTAATCATTGCCAGTGCCAAGTGTTAAGAAAAAGACAAACAACGAGGCAGATTTCAGCAAACATGAGATTAAAAGCAGTGCCTCTGGCTTGAGTAAATGGCCTCCTGATACTTGAACTTGTGGTGTTAAGGAAAGGTTGTATATGTGTGGGAAGGGAAGGATTAGATGTTCTCCTTATGGGCTTATCTATCACAAGGCTTAAAGATATCTTCTTTAAAAATTAAATGTGGGATTTTTACTCAGTCCTGTGTTTTCAGAATCTGGGGCTTGATGCAGAAGATCAAATCATTGAACAAAATGACAAATGGGCATCACCATCAAGGTGCAACACATTCTGGCCTTCTTCTCTTAAAGACATCAGTATTTTTCATGAAAACATCATACAATAAACCTCTACCACAACAAAGACTTGGGAAAAGCATGCAGTAAATGTCTCAGTTTTAGATTTTCTGGCTGTATGGACTCTTGTTTCCTTTGATCAAATACTGGGAAGCACACCACAAACTATGGGATTAATATACTCGTTGTTTAGATTAGTATCCTGGTTCTGACAGGGACAGGGTAATTTTTGCAGTAGCTGGGAAAGGGCATGACCAGGTCTGGGAGTTTATTCTATACCACCTCATGTCACTGCAGGGGTCAGGGGAAAGGGAGAAGGGCTTCCTTCTGGTCGAGCAAGCATGATGGACGGAACAGTGGGGTAATGCTGGTTCTGAGCTGGAGGGAGTGTTGGCGGTAATGTGACAAAGGGAGTAGTTGAGTATTGTCTATTGTCGGGGTTTTCCACAGTGAGCAATAATGCTTCTTTTCTTGTACCCTCTACCATTAGTATTGTTGCTGTCACTGTTCGTATTCTTATCTCATTGCTGTTTCCAGTAAATTGCTCTTAACTCATGATCTCTGCCTTTTGTGCCTTCAGTTCTCCTCTCCAGCCTGCTGCAGCATGGAGGGACAAAGGGAAGGGGAGAGTAAGTGAGCACTAGTGGTTTGGAAAGTCTCAGTGGAAGCACTGAACTGGGGACTACCATTCCTAAACCATGACAATTACTCCAAAATCTTCCTTCAAAATTGTTTTTTGGTGAAAACCAATGTAACACTTATTTTCCCAAGTAAGTATTTTCTTTCATAGATGAATATTTAATTTATTGAGAAAATAAATTCAGTTAATTGGAACTTCAACCCTAGGATCTTATGAAAACAGTGGTGTATTGGTTCTCCTCTGTCACCTTGTTTCCTACCATGTCCCACTGTTTCCCCAGGGAACAAGACTCTTTAGCAGCAGAGTTGCAAGGTCACATGCATCACCTGCCCATCAAGCCTGCTGTGTGGAAAGGATGTGGACATGAGAGAGCTAATAAACAGCTCTCAACGATCACAGCAGAAGCATTTCTAAAATACCTTTGTTCTTGGTAATTATATTTTTTTTTAAATAAAAACAATAATCTAGATGTGCCTGTTCTTTTTTTTCTTTTTTTTTTTCCAGAAAATCAAATCTTTCTTGCCAAGCGAGGGGCAAGCATTCATTTTCTCTCAACTAGTACAAACCATTTTTGCACCTTTGCCATTTGGCACTAGATGCAATTATGTTTCTGTATTGCCATAGTGCCTGAGAGCCTTGACAGAGACCAGAAAATCACACACACCAGAACATTTATTTCGTGAAGCTGAAGTAACAGATTTTTAGCTGACAAATAGCAAATCCTTACATTTATTTGACAAAATCCTTAGTACCTTTCAGACCACAATGTAAATTTAAAATACAGACAAATTAAAATAGGGATGTGCTGCTATTTCTTAAGTGTAAGATAAGAAATTTTAAAAAACACCAGTATATGTGCAACATGTACACCAGATACAACTAGAAGCAGAGACTTTCTAGCAATTAAAAACAAGAGCAAGGTCCTACTGCTCTATACAAATACAAAGTGGAAAAACAGTTGTTTATGTTTTTGTGTTAGATTTGGTGTTGTCAAATAATGCGTAAGCTCAAACAGAAACCTCTCCTTTGTTTGGGGCATTTGTCGTGGATTCTCTGACATCTAATGAGGAGATCACATCAACCCTACATCCTTCTAGGGTTTTGTTTCTTTAGTTAGTTGCTTATTTCCATGACTCGTGTAGGAA